TTGTTTAATGCAATATTGCTATGCCTGAATTACCCTTTACAGTGTATGTCTAACCAGGGCCTCTCAGAAGCTGAGAGAGGCTGAGGTCACTTATATTTTCTGAAATGAAGAAACCCCCAAATAACATTATAAAAATTGTGGTTACTTTAAAAGGTTGTCTTGCTAATGTATTTAACCCCTGAATAGAATCCGTTATAATTCAATAGATACCAAGTCTTATTATAATGCTACAGTTTTCCATCTTCGTCCATGAGCTTGATACTAAAGAATGTAATGCTGGCCGGGCGCGGTGGCTTACGCCTGTAATCCCAGCACTTTGGGAGGCCGAGGCAGGTGGATCACGAGTTCAACAGATCGAGACCATCCTGGTCAACATTGTGAAACCCTGTCTCTGCTAAAAATACAAAAAATGAGCTGGGCATGGTGGCGCGTGCCTGTAATCCCAGCTACTCAGGAGGCTGAGGCAGGAGAATTGCCTGAACCCAGGAGGCAGAGGTTGCAGTTAGCCGAGATCGCGCCATTGCACTCCAGCGAAACTCCATTTCAGAAAAAAAAAAAAAAAAAAGAATGTAATGTTCAACTGATTCTTCTCAATTCCCTGGTTTCTGGTCTTGATTGCTGAAGGGTGGGGACGCCAGGGAAGAGGGGTCCTCACATATTGAATGCCTTAGTGCAGAGCTCACTGACGTAAATTCTACAGAAGACATTTGGGGTTTTAGGCTTTTTTTTTTTTTTTGCCTTTCAGTTTCTGGTCACCCCATGTCTGATATCAAATGTGGTATTCAGCAATTTTGTAGTTGTTCAAAAGAATGGAAAACCCACATCGAACTTGTTTTTCCGATATCCATTATCACCTTTTTCAACCAGCCTAGTATTTGCTTGATGAGCTCGTGATCAAAATGGCAGCAGGGAATTCGCTTCGCTTGTATATGGAAGACTTATTTAAGGCAAAAATGAATTCAGAGAACCAGTTAAGATCCCTTCTAGTTCACTGCGATTGTAGCAGTCCAGATACGACAATGTTGTAGTAATGTACATGGGAAAAAGTAGCTGGTGGTGGATACCCTTTTGAGGCCATTTTGCTGATGGATTGGATATAGGAAGGATTGAGTATTGTTACTGAAACACCAGGGGTTTGGTCTAGGTCCTGCTGCTGGGTGCACAGAAAGCCAGTCGGTGAGATGACAAGGATTGCCAAGAAGAAGGCTTTAATCAGGTGCTGCAGCCAAGGAGATGGAAGCTCAGTCTCAAATCCATCTCCCTGACGACCAAAACCAGGGGTTTATATAGCAGGAAAGAAATGTAACAATATGCAAGAAAACAGGAGCATGGGAGGGGCAAGAAAGCGATCATGGTGACTGAGGGGCCCAGCGTCTATGAGGGTGATCTGGTTTCAGTTCTTTGATAAATACTTTTTGTGAGAGGCCTGAAGGTCCTTTCCCGAGGAAGGAACTCAGATAAAACGAATATGTTTCAAGCTTTAACCACAGAAGGGTCAACATCTATAGTCCAGCACTTTGGGAGGCCAAGGCAGGTGGATCACCTAAGGTCAGGAGTTCGAGACCAGCCTGGCCAACAGGATAAAACCCCATCCCTACTAAAAAACAAAAATTAGCTGGGTGTAGTGGCATGCCTATAATTTCAGCTATTTGGGGGCTGAGGCAGGAGAATTGCTTGAACCCAGGAGGTGGAGATTGCAGTGAGCTGAGATCATGGCACTGCCCTCCAGCCAGGGCAACAAGAGCAAAACTCCATCTCAAAAGCAAAAACAAAAGCAACCGTCTGTGGGACTCTTTGGCCGGTTTCAGTAGGACTCATAAGGTTCTGATTTGAGCAGTGGGGTGGTTGCTTATGCCATTGCCTCAGACGGAAAACTGGGGAGTAGATTTATGTGGAAAATGAGGAATTCTGCTTTGGCTAGGTCACATTTGAGATGCCTGATAGGGTACCAAACAGAGTTGTCAAGTAAGCAGCTGGATATAAATCTGGAGTTCCCAGACAGGTCACAGTGGAAAACACACGTATTTGGGCAGCTTGGACTCAGCCCTTGTTGTGATACCGGACCTGGCATGGAGTAGAAGGGTGGAACCAGCCATCTAATTTTGGGCACATGGATAAAAGTCGATACTTCCAGTCCATATTGGAATGAAGATAATGATTTATGCTCCCTAGAAAAGACACTTAAACTGGATATGGACTTACTTCCTAACATTGAGGCCTCCTGTGGCATTACAAGATACCTTGTACACAGCGAGGGTGTCCCATACAACACTGCTTCTTGCTTGGCACACTGTCTCATAACATTCAATCCTGTATTACAGGGCTTAGATAATAGGTCACCTGTAGGGATTTTAGCAAGCAGAGGCCATCATTTTTCACGTAGGATTTCCCATAACTGGAAGGGACTTTTACAAACTCAGAAATCTTTCTGGGCAGTGCCTTCAAAGTGTGGTCCCTGAGGTATTCCTGGTGCTCTGGTGACTGGGGGTAGTTGACCCTATTTCAATGTCAATCAAAACAATATACATTCCATAGTAAACTTTTGTGTTTTGGGGAGAGAGTCTTACTCTGTCACCCAGTATGGAGTGCAGTGGCCCGATCTTGGCTCACTGCAACCTCCACCTCCCTCCCAGTTTCCATGGATTCTCCTGCCTCAGCCTCCTACCAAGTATTTGGAATTACAGGTGTGTGTCACCATGCCTAGCTAATTTTTGTATTGTTTAGTAGAGACGCATTTTCGCCATGTGGGTCAGGCTGGTCTTGAACTCCTGACCTCAAGTGCCTTAGGGCCTCTAAAAGTGCTGCAATTGCAGGTGTGAGCCAACTCGCCTTGCCTATAGTGAACATTTACAAAAGATTTTGTTTGAATAGGTTTCTGCCATTAAGAAGATGCAAAGCGCTAAGGGAGTCTGAGGGTAACCCCCCATATAGGCACAAAGGAAGGAGAGCTAAGCAGAACCCTGGCACAGTTAGGGCCTGAGGAATATCTCACTTTACAGTGTTACTACTCAGCTATTTGCTTTTATATAATCCTTTACATGATCATATATTAGTTTATAGAAATAGGGCTTGACGAATCCCTTTATATAATCCTCTACATATAATCATATAGTAGTTGATAGTATGAGTGCCTAAAGAATATTTCCCTACATATATACCTATAATATATCTTAGATCATAATCGGAGGAATGCCTAGAGTGGACACAGTACAGAGCATGAATTAAGGAATAAGCAGCTTATAATCAGAGGAATGCCTAGAGCAGACACAGTGCAGAGCATGATTTAAGGGAAAAACAGTTATACCAGGACAAGAATCCATGGCCCAGGGAGGCAGCGTTCAGTATCCTAAAGATACCTGCTGTGAGCCAGACTTGGGGCAAGAGCCACTCCTCCTGATAAAGGAGTTGTAGGACCTCGCTCCAGTTCTCGTGGAAGGCTGCCCTCAGAACGACAATCCACCTTGGTGACTGTGAACTTTATCAGCTCTTGCTACTGTGCTGCTTGAAAAGCATCTTCCCATAGAACCCATTGGAAACTGCCGGAAGGTGGCGGTAACCTTGACAGCTCTGTCACTGCGATGTGACTTAAAGCATCTTCCTATAAATCTTCTTAGCATTTTGGGAGGCTACAAAGAAGCACTTTTGGGAGGTGGGTGGATCACCTAAGGTCAGGAGTTCAAAACCACCCTGACCAATGAGGTGAAACCCCGTCTCTATTTAAAAAAAAAAAACAACTTAGTAGCTTGCCCATAGATAGATATATTACACACTGCACCCTCGTTACTGCGCACAGTCCACCTTCAAGCCTCGGTGACCTAATGGGGGTGGACCCCTTACTGCACCCTAACCCTTGCCTTCATGGGAATGGGCCCCTTGCTAGGCACTGTCCACCTCCTAGCCTAGGTGACCTAATGGGGTGGACCCCTTGTTTAATTGCTCACGACCCTATCGCTATCCTTAAAGATGATTTCACTCACTGTCCTGCCCCCTAACCTATACACAGTAAAATACTCATGCTTCTGGACATCTGGGGCCTCGCCTGACTCTGCTTATAGGTGGCGTGGCCCCCCAGCCCAGCTGCGTTTTCCTTGTACTTCTGTGTCCTGTCTCTTTATTTCTCGGATCCTGCGCCTCAGCACAGCATAAGGCTCACCCCACGACCCTGTGGGGCCCTCAGCCCTACAGGAGTCTAACCTCTTCACTTTGCATATGGGAAAACTGAGGCTCAGAGAAGTGAAATGACCTAGACCTCCAGGTGCCACCTCCCTTTCAGTGCTCCTGCCCTGCTCCGAGCAAGAATGTGGCAAGTCAAGAGCAGACAGAGGATTATTAAAGTTATCTGAGGATCTCGGAGCCTCATCCCTGAGCTACGATAGTCATGCCCTCTTTAGCTGGGAGCCCCATCACGACCTTCCAAAGCTCTGGTTTGATAAGGAGGGTGGAATCTGAGACTGAGAACGATGGTTTCCCAAGGAGGGAGTTGGAGGTGAGGAAAACAGCAAAACCATGTGCTAGACAAGATCTCCAACTGCAGGGTTCTGGAGGCAGTTAAGAAGTTTTGAAGGCGCAGACTGAAACTCGGGGCCGCTGAGGGCGCGAGTCCGGAACTGCTGAGGACAAGATGGGGTTAGGGAGGGCAAGCAGGTTGCCCGACGCCCGTTTCCACCCGCTGGGCATGGAGGGGCGGGACTCCGCCCCCTCCCTCACTTGATTAGGTTTAAATCACCACTCCCAAGGATTCCTAGCTGTGCCTTTGAGTGTGTGGCAAGGGATTGCGGACGGGGGACCGCTTGTCAATTCAGGGAAGTCAGCCTCTTTCTGCCACTGAATTCGCCCATCAGTAGAGATCCGACTTTCCCACCGTTCACTGTGACTCTCACTGCATAGGTGGGGAATCCAAGGCGCGGAGGGGTCTGGGCCAGAGTCCCGGGCTATCCACTCATTCCGGGGTTGTAGGGTGTTAAAATGCTCGCTCTGAATAAAGAGACTCCCGAACAGGCTTTGTGTGAGCAAAATGGTTGTTTATTCACCTGGGTGCAGGAGGGCTGAGGCTGAAAGGGCCTCAGTGAGGGGCGGTGGGAGAGGAGTTGGTTTTACACGTTTGGGGTGGGCAGCGGAGAGCTACAGAAGTTACAGCTAGTGGTGTTCTGCAAGCTGGAAGGGGGTCCTAGGGTGTGGAGTCAGGAAGTTGGCAAAGCTGGGAGGGGGTGGTGGAGTCTGGAGTCACGAGTTTGGCCAAGCTGGGTTACAAAGTCCAGTGGCCTTGTCAGTTGAGGCCTGAATCAGAAACAATAGAAGAACGTCTCAGGTTAGTTAGGCGCCCGCTGCAGGGGTTGATCGTTTCTTCCAGGAACTCCTCTGGGGTGTACATGCAGGTCACAGATTACCATGCCGTTCTCCGCGCGGTCAGACCTTACATAGGGTAGCAGGTGTGAGGAGCGTGGGCTCCAGCGTGCCGGGCACTAACTGCGAGCGTAATGGCCACAGGCTCCCAGCCAAAGTGGTCAGGAGCCCACTCCCAACACCTCTTTCCGCGCGCCCCGCCTCGCCCTCCAGCCGGGTGGTGCGCGCGTCCTCCCACACTGCACGGGCTGGGGGCGGGGCCTCCGTGTTGTTGTTTCTCTGGGGCCCCGCCCCTCAGGGGGGCGCGGACCACGCGGCCGGAGGGCCCGCCTCCCCTCCCCCTCCCCGCCCAGCCCGCCCGCCTCTTTGTATCCAACATCCGGGTTTCCCCGCTGGCTCGGCTCCGTGGCCGCCGCTCCGGAGCCATTTTGGACTCGGTTCAGCTCCCCTCCCCCCACCCCTCCCCCCGTTCATGGCCCCTCCGGACTCGGCCCCTGCGCCGGGGGCCCGGGCCCAGCCCCGCCGCGCTATGCCTGAGTCGGGCGCGCCCCGGCCCGTGCCCCGCCGCCGCCCCCCGGCCCCCACGTCGCCCCGGAGCCCGGGCCGCAGCCTGCACCGCCCGCAGCTGCCCTGAGCCCGGCCCCGCCGACCGGCCCTTGGAGACCGAACGCTGCTCGGGGACGAAGGCGCAGGAAGCGCACGGGGAACGAGACCGAAGGAAGGAGCGGGAAGGAGAGCGCAGCCGCCGCCCGGCCCTGCGCGCCCCGGGAGCGCCGTGCGGCCCTGCCCGCGGGCTCCGGGTGTGCGCGGGGCGGCGCCGCGGAACATGACGGCGCCCTGGGCGGCCCTCGCCCTCCTCTGGGGATCGCTGTGCGCGGGTAAGAACCGGGCGCGGCGCGGGGACGCTGAGAGGGCGCGCGGGGCTGGCCTCTGGCGCCGCGCGGTGTTTACCAACAAAGGGCGGGCCCGCGGCCTCGTCGCCGCGCCACCTGCATTCAGCTCGCAGCTCCCGGGTGCCCCGCTCGCAGGTCTTGGGGGCACGATCTTGTCTGTTCATTCTGCGGGGTTCTGGTTCCTAGACGCGCCCCTGCGATGGGGGCCGGGACACGGAGCCTCAGGGTCGGAGTTCAGGCTACGCGGGCGCGTCGAACCCAGGGAGAGAGTGAGGAAAACCTGAGTGTGGGGAAGGCGGCCAAGCGGGTGGGCATATCTCATGGGGGCGGCAGGATTGTAGGTGCAGCAGCAGCGGCATGCGGGGAGGGTTGCACGTCCCTCAGAGTCACTAAGTGTAGTGAAGCGAAGGGGGCGGCTTCGCGCAGCCCAGGCAGTCCCCTGCATCCCAGACCACCAGTCTGCGTCGCGTTCCCGGCCCGGCGGGCTGTTGGTGCTGGCTCCCACCTGCTCCCTCTTTCCCTGCCTTTGGCCCGGGTTGGGGAGTGTGGTCGCTTCGCGGGTCCGCTTTGTTTAGGCACTTGGGAGGGGAGAGGGGGTAAGATGGAAAACCAACAGGTCCCTGTTCGCTCGGGCCTTCGGGAGGCACGTGGCGGGGTGGGTGACCGCGCACTTAGTTCGCCGGCGACCACGGGCGTGGGGTTGGAGGTGTTTGGCCAGCGCTTGTGTGCTTGGGGGTGTGTGGGTGCTGGCGTAAACAAGCGGAGTTCCGCTTGGAAAGCTTTTTTTCTCCTAAGGCCCAAGCTCCAATTTCCCTCTCCTAGTGGTGCTGGGGTACCCCAAACCCGGCGGGCGCGCCAGGACGGTCTTTTGGCCAGTCCTGGGAAGCGTGGGGAGCTGGGCATTGAGGCGCTGGCGAGAAGGTCGGGGCTGCTGGTACCCGGCCGCCGGGTCCTGCGCGTCTTTGTTCCCAGCCCCCATTACACATGCAGCGCGGGTCCCCCGCCGCCCACGGTGGCAGCAGCCTGGAGTCTGGGAAACCCGTGAGGGGCGGGGCCGGGCGTGCAGGGGCGGGGCAGGAGTCCCCACGCTGCTGCGGGGGTGGGGATCTGGGATCTCCGTCCCATTCCTACCGCAGTTCTGCCTCCTTTGCATCGTGGTGAGGCTTAGTTTACACCGAAAACAAGTGAGGTCTGTAGGGTAGTAGCGCTCTCGAAGTCTGAGTGCGGAGACCAGAAGACCGGTTGGCACCTGGGCTCCTATGAAAGGGGGCATTGCAGCTCTCCTGGAGCTACTTCCTGTGTGCTGGAGGCAAAGTGGTGGTCGTGTTGGACTTTATGTTCATTTTTTCCCTTCCTGCTCCCTTTGGGATGCCTTTTCCCCAAGAAGGAGGGCTCTGAGGTGAAAGGGGAGGCATTGGTCTGCCAGAGGCAGGGCTGCAGGAGGCTGACTTGATAGGCACACAGCAGACCACCTGGCTGCCTCCAGACCCGCTGGGTGCCTGATCCCTGCAAGTGCTGGGGCTCTTCCAAGTCCAGGCCTTTAGGAGCGCTTCCTCCCGAGACAAGACAGCTTCAGACCTGGAATCTGAGGAGCGCTGGTCTCACACTTCCCTCCACTTGGCAGGGCAGGGTGGCATCAGGGCCCTGGAAGGACTGTGTTTCCTTTCTTTTTCCTCTGCATCAGCCTCCCAGCTTGGACAGCGCTGAGCAGTGTACCCTGCCAGGGCAGTCAGAGGCACACTATAAGGACCTATGTTCCTGCCCAGGGATGAAGGCGGGGGCGACTAGGTGTTTCTTGTGGTCACACCAGCCAGTCCCTGACCTGTGAGGAACTGTGAAAAGCTGCCCCAGGCCCAGTTTGGAGCAGACCTGACCCTCCTGTTGCCTTGGCTTCAGGAATGCCGTTTGTTTCAAGCTCCTGGCTTGCCGTTTGGAATAACCCCTATGCTACGCAGCACACAGTGCCCTGGTAGAAGGAGCATCTAGAAGAGTGCTGACAGAAATATTACATGAACTCCATGTAGACGTAAAACTTAACATTTCCTAGTAGTCATGCTAATAAAAGGAAGAAGAAACAGTCTTAGCTCAAGCTGCCATAACAAAATACTATAGACTGGTGGCTTAAACAGCAGGAATTAATTTTCTTAAAGTTCTGTAAGGCTGAGCCTAGGGTGCAGCATGCTGGTATGGATGGGTTCTGGTGAGGACCCTCTTGGCTTGCAGACATCTGCATTCTCACATGACCCGGGTGGGGAAAGGCAGGGGGTGCTTTCCTCTTTTTATAAGACCATGAATCGTCTAACCTGATCTAACACTCACTACCTCCCAAAGGTTCCATCTCCAAATGCCATTACACTGGGAGTCAGAGCTTCATTGTATGAATTTTGGGGGGATTCATTCTTTCCGTGACATGGAATGAACTTTAATAGTTTATTTCATTGGCCGGGTGTGGTGGCTCACCCCTGTAATCCTAGTACTTTTGGAGGCAGAGGTGGGCAGGTCAGGAGGGCAAGAGATTGGGACCATCCTGGCCAACATGGTGAAACCCATTCTCTACTAAAAATACGAAAATTAGCTGGGCTGCTGGTGGCGCCTACCTGTAGTCCCAGCTCCTTGGGAGGCTGAGGCAGGAGAATCACTCAAACCCAGGAGGCGGAGGTTTCGGTGAGCTGAGATCATGCCACTGCCCTCCAGCCTGGTGACAGAGCAAGATTCTAGCTCTAAATAAATAAATAAATAAAATGAGACACATTCCATTTTTGTACTGTCTTCAAAAAAATCCAGTGTGTATCTTACAGAAATCTCAACTCCAACATTTCTAGTGCTCTGCAGAACATTTGACTGCTATGCTAGTGGCTACCATATTGGACAGTGCCTTCTCAGAAGGAAGGCAGACTTTATGCTGTAATAATGGCACATGGTGCTTGTCACAAGATGAGTCAGTGGTCAGTTGTTCTTTAATAATTCTTTAAGTCTTTTGGGGCCTGTGCTTGGCTCAGCGTCCTTGGGAAACAAGCCATTGGGCTCTTGCATTTCGCTGGACATCCCAGACACTCACCTTGTAGCCTGCAAGAGCTCCTGACACCTGTCTCTGTACTTGGAGTTCAGATCACAGGGCCTGTGGGGGTGGGATGAACAGTGCTCTGAGTGATGTATCCAGAGCTCTTGGAGAGGGACCTGCCCATCAGGAAGTACAGGCCCTGACTCATACAGGTCCTCATATGCTGACCATTCTTTGACCCAAAGGTATTTCTTGGCCACTTCCTTGGGGGAGGGCAGGCAGAGTGAGCAAGTGAAGTGAAGTGACCCTCATCCCTCAGGCCTAGTGTAGTGGTAGCTGCAAAGGACATGGGCTCCAGAGCCATGGGCTGTGGGTGGCCCTCCAGGGAAGAACGTTTTCTGCTATCTGTCCTTGTACCTGCTGGGCACTCGAGGAATGGGTACCCTCCCTAGCTCTTAGGGGCCCTTCCAAGACAGATGAAGTGAGAAACCTGCCCATCTTCCCAGACCCTACAGCTGGATAAAACATAAGATCTGAACCCCATGGCCTTCCATTGCTTGGGTGGGCCTCTGTGGTGTACTACTCTGTGGGTCTTCTGGGCATCAAGAATCTCCAAAAGCACCTGGACCTCTGCTGGCATTTCATCTAAGGAGCTCCCATTACAGGGAGCCATTGAAGAGCCCACATTCTATGCAGTGATCTTTGATGTCATAGCCCCTCCTGAGAATCTGATGAAAGTTGTGGAGCCTTTGCCCAGGAAGATGTAAATCAGTATATATGTGCATGTGTGTGTATATTGCATGCCCCCACTCTGTTTTGCACAGATACAGGGAACCTGCTGCCCCCTGATTAGACTCCTTGAAGTCCTGGCTGCCCTGCACATACCCACTGGAGCAGTCTTACAGGGCAGCTTGTCCTGGGGGTGAGGGGTGCTTGTTCCACCTTGGTACCTCACTTATTCTGCCTTTTGTGATCCCGCCGGATGTTCAGATTCTAGCCCTGGTCACTCTTTCCAGAAAGCTGCCCCCTGAGTGCCTGCTATGCGCTTAGCCCTTCTGCTTGGGAGCTCAGGGTAGTGCAAATGAGAAGCAAGGAGTACTGGGTCAGGAGTTTAGATCTACTCATAGATACTGACCTGTGACTATGGAATGGGATCGGGTGAGGACTGGGTCTGGATAATGCTTTTGAGGGTGACTCCAGACAGACTCTAGGTAGTCCTGAGGCAGGGTCCTGGCTGCATGGGCCTCACTCCAGAACAGGGTTTCTCAGCCTTGACCCTATTTACATTTTGGGCCTAATAATCCTCTATTGTGTATGGGGGTTGCAGGTAGCGGTGGGTTGAGCTGTTCTGTGCATGTGTAGGTTATTTAGCAGCCTCTGCCTACAAATTCCAGTAGATCCTCTTTAATCATGCCAACCAAAAATGTTTCCAGATCTTTCTAAATATCTCTGGCAGAGGTGAGGGCAAAATCATCTCAGATTGGGAACCACTGATCTAGAGTGTTCTCATGCTTTCGAAGAGGCACACAGTTGTAAGAAGTAGGGGTGATGGCTTATGAGTGCATATCCATCCCCCTTCTCTGGATTCAGGGTTGGAGGTTAGGTCTCCTCAAAGCCTAGGAGATTCCTGCTTAGTTGAAATCTACTCAGCACGTGACAGTTCGGTTCAAAATTAGTGGTTCTGGTGTACAGCTTGCTACTGAGGAGAATCCTGGCGTCCTTGAGTTTTCCCAGAAGTGGTTCGGGTTTCAGGGAGGCGGAGGCTGTGGGTGGCTGGGCAGCCTGCCTGCCCGCACCCGCCCACTCGCCTCTGACCGTTGCCTTAAGGCTGGCATTCAGCTTCTTCCTCCTGTACATGCAGAATGTCAGGAAGTTCCTGTTGCTGGCGACTCTGCCTGCCTAGCACCGCCTCTCTGCTCACCTGGGAGCCTTAGGAGCTGAGGCTAGCCCTGTCTGCCTAGCGGAGCACAGGGGTTGTAGGAGGCCGTGGGCATGCCTTTTCCCCTGAGCGGGCCTGCAGTGTGGCACTCCGGGGAGCCGCAGCGGCTGTGGGCCTGGAGTCCCCAGGCTGGGGACACCAGGGCAGGTGGGCAGCCTCTCCCCAAAGGTATGGGTGCAAGTCTCTCCCCTCTCCTCAGGGTGTGGTGGCCAGATGGGAATCTGAGGGCAGGGCCAGCCTTCCTCCTGTGGACCTGGGGAGGTGTGGGCAGTGCTGCTTAGACCGGCGGCCAGCACTGGAGGTGCCGGTGGAGCGGTTGGTATCTGTGGAGGCCTATCTGTTGGGCTTGGCAGGCTGGCAGCCCCCTGTGGCTGCCCCCATGTTTATTTTCTACTCCTCCCCTGGCCTGGTCTGAGCTTGGCTAGGGAGCGCTTTCTGTGGGACTATGTCTCTCTCATCTTGAACTCAGTGAGACACAGTTTGCTGTACTGGGAAGTGATTACAAACTGGGCTGTTAGGTGGAGGAGGCATTTTCAAAGCCCCGGTTTCCAAGTGCTCTACAAAGTGCTTGCTGGGGTTCAGACTTCTTACTTCCATCTGTCTTTGGAGTCTTTACGAAGAGGACTTTATTTCCTCCTCAGAATTCTTTCTCTTCCTTCCCTCCTATTCTGTCACCAACTTTGTGTTCCAAAACAGACACCCACCCCCTTGTTCTGGGCTTCCTTCTTTGGTCTTTCGCTCTCCACCAGACTTACGGGTCCATCCTAGCCCTAGAGGTGCCTCTTCCTTGTGGCCCTGGGGATACTGTTCCTGGATGCCCAGGTTTTCTGGTTGTGGAAATGCTGCTGCCTTCTTCTGACCCTGTTTATGACGTTGGTCAGTGGTGTCTCTCACTAAGACGATGGTAGGTACTGGACATCAATGGATAACGCAGGCTGGGATTGTTAGGCGTCAGCCATGCCTCCTCCCGACCCAGGACCAATAATGGCTTCCCGCCTTTGGAGAGCCCCATGCTTTCCCCTGGTTATTCTAGGCTTGCTGTACACATGCATGTGCCTTTTTCAGATTCTTTCCGGGACTGGCAGCTCCAACTGGGTGTTTTCATTCATGGACACGTGACCTCTGGAAGCGGGTGTGGAAAGGAAGCCTGCTCCACTGCGTAAATGTGAGGCCCTCTTCCCAGGGGAATGTTTTCTTCAGGGGTCTGACCTGCTGGACAATGGGGCTTCTCTCTGACGAGTTTCTGGGCTGAGCTGAGGTGTTTCGTGAGGGAAGCTCATGCTCTTTGCATGTGTTCCTCTGCCGACTATTTCAGCTCCACTCTGACAGCCGAGGAGGCTAAAATTAGTTCTGGAGAAGGAAAAGGAAGGCTGGTTAGAAACCCAAGCCCTTGGCTGGAGAATGGAGGAGGCTGCTTCCCAGGTTTGTGCCTGAACGTTTCGGAGGATGGGACTAGACCAGCTGTTATCTGTCCATCTGAGGGGGGGGGGGTCCCTGTGGCCTCGCAGACCTGAACCAATTAAAACAGGAGACTAACTTGGAAGCTGACTCTCTGGAGTGTTGATGCCAGGATGTTTTTTCCTTCTGGCTTGTGCAGTGGTGCACAGTGTTTTCAGGTATGAGGACAATGCCTTAGAATGAATGTCCAGTGTCATTGACAGCCGTCCTCCCTCTCCACCTCCAAATGGGTTACGATGCGTCCGCTGTTTGAGAAGGCACGCGTGAGTTTTCCCAGCCCGGGCTGGCAGCCATGGTTTAAGAACTCTTACTTCAT